TTTTTTTTTTTGTGTCTGTGAACGCTCAATCTCAGCTCTCGCTGGACCGATTTTGATGAACAATATGTCAAAAGATCACAAATCGTATCTAGTCGAAGACATTACCCTCAAAAATTAAAAAAAATTTCCTCGTTCCCCGTAAACGAGGGAAATCCCCCAAAAAATTACAAATTTAAAAATCGCTAATTTTCGATATTTTTTCAATTTTTTTTACTTAAAATTGCCATAACTTTTTTAAAAATGACCGAATCAATATAATTTTTTTTTTTATAGATACCTTAGATGTTTACCTGTTATTTTATATTTTTTTGTGAACATTTGATCCTTTAACAGCCCACAGGAAGGGTTTCAAAATGGTAACTTTTTTACAAAAAATTAATTTTTTCAAATTAACTTTTGAAAAAGTTCCGGAAAGACTGACACTTTTATATATATCTTAAATTAAAGCTAATTTAATATACTTTAATTTGAAAAAATAAAATTGACCTCTGGACTTGTCTTTGTGGTGAAAATAGACATCAAAGTTAAAGAGAAACGAACGATTTCCGTGAAAAAAGTCTCGATTTTATATTTTATATTATTTAATTTATATTTTATATAACTTTTGGAAAAATGTATGAATCAATATTGTTATTTTTTTATAATAAATTTTTATATACCCCTTTCATCTGACACGCTTTTTTTTGCAAATCGGATCATACCCCTTTATGCAAGGGGGTCAAAACTTTAAACATGCGTATTAAAACTAGGACATTTTCAATTTAATTTTTGAAAGTCTTCCAGAAATACTGACACTTTTATATATATCTTAAATTAAAGCTTATATAATATACTTTAATTTAAAAAAAAAAATTTGACCTCTGGACTTGTCTTCATGGTAAAAATGACTACCGTATTCAAAATTATGATATTTTTGTTTTAAAATTCTGGGTTTTGTATTTTATTTTATTTTAAAATACCTGTCAAGGGGAGTACAGATTTTAATAAATATTATGTAAATAAAATATTGATATAGCATAGAAAGTTAAACTTATATAAATTTTTTTGCTTTTTGGAGTCGAGAAAAATAATTTTGAAATTTGAACTAGCTTAAATAGCCAATTTTTTCAAACAACATTTGCGATGTACAGTTGCCAAGTCGGTTAAAGTTATGTTTTACGCCTTTGGGGTACGAGGTTCCAACCCGCATGTGGCACTGATTTTTTTGTATTTTTTTTTAATTCTTTTTAAGTTAGAATAAATTTTCAACTCGTTTGATTTTTATCTCATTTAGATTCAATAACTTCAATAAAGATCAAGGATCCCATCACTTTAGTCGCCCCATGCGAGAAGAAATTTTTTATTCATATTAAAATTATTTTATTATATTTTAGCTTAAACCGATTTCTTTCAACGATGCGTCAAAAGATCACAAATCGTATCTGATCGAAGACATTACCCTTAAAAATTGAAAAAAAATTCCCTCGTTCCCCGCAAATGGGGGAAATATCCAAAAAAATTACAAATTAAAAAATCAGTAAATTTTACCTCGACCCCATTGTGTTACCGTTTTGTTTTACTTTATTAGTATACATTACTTTTTTTATTATAAAGGTAATAATTAGCTTAATAATAATAAATAATAATTAATAAAGTTAATAATAAAAAACGGTAGCACAGTGAGGTCGAGGCATAGTGTAGACAAGGCATAGATGGGACAAGTATAGATGATATTTGACAGTGATTAAAATCACTATCATAAGGGTATTTATTCCGATTACGGGAAATGATTCCCATATCGTCATTTATCGTTATTACCTCCACGTTGTGCGCCTACTGCTTTCCTTGGATGTGGTAGCCGTTTCTCAGACTCCCTCTCCGGAATCGAACCCTGATTTCCCTTTACCCGTTACAACCATGATATTGATAGTAACTACTATCATAACATGGAACTAAAAAGTGAAATATAAATATAGTTAAAAAAAAACTAAAAAAACACGTTTTTAAAGCACATTGAACTAAAAAGTACAAAATAATTTTTAAAATAAGCTTAAAACAATATTGAACGAAAAGTACCAGTATTATTGTGATAAAAGCGTAGGTGCTTTGTGCTATATGTTTCGTATATTGAGCGTCCGATGCTTTTATCACAATAATACTAGTATTTTTCGTTCATTATTGTTTTAAGCTTATTTAAAAAATTATTTTGAACTTTTTAGTTCAATGTGCTT